TGCATGGGTGGGAGTGTAAAATTAAAAAAAAAACATCTAGTAATCATCCTCGAAAAATTTGTGAAATTTTGGTACCAATTTCGTGAAAATATGCCAATAAATGTGTAAGTGCGTGGGTGGATGGTAAAATAAAAAAAAGCATCTAGTAGTCATCCCCGAAAAATTTGCGAAATTTTGGTACCAATTTCGTGAAAATCGGTCCATAAATGCGCATATGCGTTAGTGTATGCGTGAGTGGGCAAAAACTAAAAAAACCACACAGCAACCACCCCCGAAAAATTTGCAACATTTTGGTACCAATTTAATGAAAATCAGTCCATAAATGTGGAAGTAGTTTGCGGTCATACAGACATACAGACAGACAGACGGTACTTACATATATATACTAGCTTTTTGGCCCGCGCTTCGCGTGGGCCTCAAAGCTTTTACCCAACACTGACCCCGCTCTTATTAGTTTTCACACAATTTTTTATTTTACAAAACCAAAGATATATAATATTTAATGATACTTATTAATAATATTTAATATCTATTTGTCTGTCTATTTGTCCGTCCGTCTGTCTGTCTGTCTGTCGTCGTCATCCCCAAAAATTTTCAAGATTTTGGTACCGAAAATAAATCAATATGTGTGAGTGCGTGGATGGAAGTTTTACATACAAAAATTTTATTTTTAAATGTGATTTCTCGATTGGAACATTCTGAACACATTGGTATAGAAATTTGCAAAAAATTTTTTTCGCGGAAACATAGCCTCCTCTATAGTAAAAAAAATTTTTTAATTAAAAAAATCACCATCTCACACTGCCCAAAAAATTTGCAACTTGTGTATATATAGATATAAATAGATATCCAATTTCGAGAAAATTAATCAATAAATGTATGAATGCGTGGGTGGATGCGTATGTAGTAGTGTAAAACTTAAAAAAAACACATAGTAGCGATCCCCGAAAAATATGCAAAATTTTGGTATCAATTTCAAGAAAATCGGTCTATAAATGTGTTGGTGCGTGGGTGGCTGCGTAGATGGGTGCATGGGTGATTGAATAGGGTGGTAAAAATTTTTAAAAATCATATAGTGGCCATCCCCGACAAAATTTTAGTACAAATTTCGAAAAAATCGGTAAATAAATGTGCGAATGCGTGGGTGGATGTGTGAGTGGGATAAAACTAAAAAAAACCACATCGTCGCCATCTTCAAAAAATTTGCAACATTTTGGTACCAATTTCAAAAAAATCGGTCCATAAATATGCGTTTGCGTGGGTGGGTGCGTGGGTAGAGGCGTAAAACTTACAAGCAATCATCATTATCACCCTCCCCGGAAAATTTGCGAAATTTTGGTACCAATTTGATGAAAATTGGTCCACAAATGCGGAAGTAGTTCGCGGTCAGACAGACAGACAGACAGACGGACGGTACTTAATTATAGATACATATGTATATACAATATATATATAGTTTTAATTTATTTGTTGTTAAATAACTTGTAATTTACTAAAATATGATTTTATCATTTATTTATTGGTAACATTACTTCCATTGAATGAATAAATATGATATTTTTGTCATGTAGGAACGTTTACTACTACATCAACTACTACAACGAAGCTACATCGTAAAATGGAAATCCAAGCCTTAGACAAATCAGAATCTGATAATAATGATGGTAAGAGAAAAGTTTTTTTAAATATATTATCTTATTCCCAGATAACCACAGTAATTATTATGACATCATTTTGATGTCAAAATGCATCATTTTGATGGTAAATGATGCATCATTTTGATGGCAAATGATGCATTTTGATAAAATAATGTCATAATAATTACTGTGGCTATCTGGGTTATAATATATATATATATATATATATATATATATAATATTATGTAATATGTAAATATACGTATATTTATTATATATTCAAGTAATTATATATGTATATTTGAATTCTAATAAAAATGGTTCTATTTAATTTCAGATAACTCTGCTGGCTACGTGTCAATTAATCTTCCATTATTATTTATACAATTAGCAATTTTCATTTCATCAATAATTCAATAGGTAAATTTAATATTATAATACGCATTAATTTTATGTTTTGTATACGTGTGAGTGTGCGTATGTGTGTGTGTATGACACTCTCCCGCAAAATAAATGGCTACCAAATTTAGCACAATTTTTTGACATCTTTGAATTTAATAACTCAGTAAAAAGTATTATATTGAAATAAATCAACGCTTAAATTAAAGCCCAAACATTTCATTTAATAACACGCAGTGCTTAGATGAATTTAAAATCAGCTAGATAAAGATTTAATAAAAACATGTAAATGCATTTTAGATAAGATAAATTCGTTTAAATATATCTAAATAAAAGATAAAATTATATGGCGATGCATCTAGATAACTTCCAGATAATATTTTTTTGAGACCGTTTATGTAAATACAGTTATAAAAAAATGTAAAAATATATTTATAGTTTTATTTATAAATTATCCATTACTGCTGAAGTTCTACTAATTAAGTATTCTTTTGTGCTATGACTTTAAACCAAATTATCTGAATATTATTCTAGATAATTTCGTGAAAATAATACTTTTTTTCATCTAAGATGCAGGTATATATATATGTATAAATGATACATTTATTATCTATATAAAGATAAGATGACGCCAAGATTTTATCTAAATGATTATCTATATAATTTTATTTAGATAACAGTAAACACTGATAAGAAGAAAAACTAAAATTGAATTATAATAAATGTTTTACAAAATATCGAACGTTAAAGATAGACATAAAAAATGGGGAAAATGTCTCTTTAAATTTTTGCTTAGTTCAGAAGAATCGGCTCTCAGGTATAAAAAATATGAGTTTTAAGCTCATTACTTTGCTAACAAATCCATATTTTAAACATTTTTCTACAATTTTTTGTTTTGACAAAATTAAGTATACTCTGTTTTGAAGAAAATGTTGCAAAACAGATATTTTCTTGTAAAATCTGCAATTTAGATAACACACATACACACACACAAATTATCATGAAAAACAAATTAAAATATAAACTTTGAAGATATATTAAAAAATAAACTTCAAATTTTTAATCTTTTTGCCAATAATAAACACAAAAAATTGCCGGTAATAAACATTTATAATGATATAATTTTTTTGTTTATTATCGATAAAAAGGTTATAAAATTTAAAGTTTACATTTTAATTTTTTTTTTGAACAAATTTTTCATGATAGTTTGTTTCTAAATTGCAAATGTTACTAAAAAAGTCTATTTTGCAACATTTTTTAAAACAGTATAACTTTATAAAAAAATTGTAAAAAAATTTGTTAAATATGGATTTGTTAAGGTATTATATATAATGAACTTAAAAGCTCATATTTTTTGTATCTAGGAGCCGATTCCAATGAGCTATACAAAAATTTTAAAAAGACATTTTTCTCCATTTTCAATGTCTATCTTTAACATCTGCCATTTTGTATAACATTTTTTATCATTCAATTCTGGTCTTTTGCATTAATAAAAAAATGTTCAAGCTTTAATTTAAACGTTGGTTCATCTGAATACTATGATTTTTTACTAATTACAAATTAGCAATTCAAAGATGTCAAAAAATTAAGCTAAAATTTGACCCATTTTTTGTGGTTAAATATATTAATAATTATAGGAACTTGAGATCTGTGCATATATAGTATTCTGCAACCATTATACAATACTCTTTCAATGACGTTTTATTTTGCAGATTAGCTTAAAAAATCTGAAGATTTAGGAAAATGATGTGGAAATCAGAGTAGTTTTTGACTTATGAGTAATTATAATGATATTAAACTCATGTGACAAAGTTTGCATCAAAATCTGTAGCTATGTATGCATACATTTTAATCTCAGAATTGCTTTAATCACTGAACTATTCAATGGAAAAGAGCTAATCCATGTTGTATCAAGTCTTATATTATATATAATTATATTATATATAATTATATTATATATAATTGTAATTATATATTATAGTCTTATATTATATATAATTGTAATTTATTGTGAAAAAAGAATCTCTTCTGATTATTCTATCCTTATAGAATTAATTTATCATTAGTAAGTCCAATTAATCACTTATTTCAAGTACTTAAATTACTAATATATAGTAAAAATAAGGGTATGTCTTTTAAGCATATACACAATAAAAGCTTTTATACAAAAGCTTCATATATATTAAAAGTTTAGCGACAGTTGTTATAATTTTAAACAAATTAAAAAACGTCAAATTTATATCTATTTAAAAATTTGTATAAAGAAATATTATTTTAAAATATTTTAGAGTGCTTATCTTTTTTGCAGTTTTGCTACAAAAGTGATACTACCGATGACACCAAAATATAATGAGAGTAAATATTATCGTATTAATGTTTTTAATATTTTTATATTAGATTTATTTTTGTAATTATAGATTATTTTGTAATTATTTTTTGTAATTATCTCTAGAATATATTAAAGTATTAAATATTGTTAAATGGTTGCAGAACATCTTGTATATCTATATCTTGTATATATATGTATATATTGTGTAATCTCAACAATATCAATCAATCTCACCAATAGTTTATAGAATCATAATATTATTCTGACAGCTTAAAAAAATTGATTAACATAAATAATTTCATGCAAAACATATTATAAAACATGTTTTAATTGGAAATAAAATTTCAGATTATACCAATATTTTGAACAAGATGACAAGTGCGGCTATGAAGAAAATCGTTTCGATTCTACATCGAACATTTTATTGTATTATAAATACATCCACATATTACATATATACATATAAATATATATATATATATATATATATAAATATATATAAAGATATTTTCCCCTTTCTTACAATTATTAAAGAATAAAAAATTTATATCATCTCTCTTTCTCTCATCTTTATTCTTTATTTGTAAGAATATCAAAGTTATTTGTTGTAAATTGTAATCTATAATAAATTGTAACTATATATCAGGGAGAGGCGTATCCCAGTCGTACTTGAGAAGCCATAACTCTTGTAACAGAATTTTAGAGGTTACAACGAACGGAGCCGCCCAACCGAGCGGGTCGTACAACTTAGCCGTGAAAGAGAGAATTGAGCGCTTCGTTGGATTGACCGTTTTCGGCGGTGTGACCACGAATTGAAACGAGTCGTCCTGCGAGTGCCACGAAAGACCTAGGACCTTGAGAGTATCCTCTTTTACTAACAAGTGATTTTTCACTTCCGGCTGATGAGCCGAGAGCCCCTGAAGAAGGGAGAGGGAGTTGGATGCCCATTTACGGAGCTGAAATCCACCCTTTCTTAGTATTTCCACCAGTTGTATACGAGCCTCAATTAACGAGGCCTCGTCGTCCGCGCCGAAAAGCGCGTCGTCCACATAAAAGGACTCGCGCAGAATTGAAACGGCAGCGGGATAGAGAGCTCCTTCATCAATGGAGAGCTGCCTCAGGACTCTCATCGCAAGGTACGGGGCTGGGGCCAGCCCGTACGTCACCGTGAGAAGTCGGTAGCGTTCGATCGGCGAGTCAGCCGACGAACGCCAAAGAATCCTCTGAAAGTCCGTGTCAGACGGATGCACGAGGATCTGGCGGAACATCTGAGCAATATCCGCAGTGTAGACCAGGCGCCACTGCCGCCAGCGCAACAGTATCGCGGGGAGGTCTTGTTGCAACCTCGGACCGATCAACAGATGATCGTTGAGAGAGGAGTTGTTGCTCGTGTTGCAAGAGGCGTTGAAAACAACGCGTAAGTTAGTGGTACAGCTCGAATCACGCAAGACAGGGTGATGCGATATGTATACGGGTTTGAACTCGGAATGCTCAGAGTCCTCCACCTTTGTCATATGCCCGAGAGCGCGATATTCTTTTAAAAACTCATTATACTGAGCTTGAAGCTCAGGTTGACGTCGTAACCTGCTCTCCATTTTATAGTACAGCGAAGTTGTAATTGATAAAGAATCACCGATTTCTATCGGGAGATCATGCTTAAATGGCAATCGGACGGTATAACGTCCCTGCGAATTCCGGTAATGATTCGCAACGAAGTGAGCTTCGCACCTCTCCTCCTCTTCAGTGAGGGGTAAAGGGTGAGGAATTTCCTCCTCTTCCCAGAATTTCTGGAGAAGCAAGTGGATGTCCTGATTAGACACGCAGTTCAATACGGAGGCTTCAGCAGAAGCGGTGGACCTACTAGTCGTAGGGCCAGAGAGTACCCAACCAAGAGCGGTCAATTGAGCGGTCGGAGTACCGATAGGACCTTGACGGATATCGCGCAGCAAAAGTGAGCCGTAAAGGTCAGCACCGATCAATAAGTGAATTTGGTGGTGACTCGAAGGATCAGGATCCGCAAAGGAGAGACCCTGTAAATGTGGCCACGTTTCGAACGGCTGAACTTGCGACGCGGCATACGAAGTAATGCGTTGATATACGTAAGCTTCCAGAGGAAAGCTCGGATCAGCTTTCGAACGCGGGGTTAATCGAAGCGTTAATCGTGACTTAGCAGTACCGGTGAATTTTTCGCCGAAACATTTAATTTGCAAATTGGCTCGTTGCCGTTTAGTGCGCAAAGCTTGTGAAAGCGACTCCGAGATAAAACTGAAAGTGGATCCTTGATCCAGCAGCGCACGTACTTTCAAACATCGACCCTCTTCTGTGTGGAGGTCGACCCACGCCGTGGCCAAAAGAACGTTGGGAGGTCGATCGAGCGAGGGTGGTACTGTCTGGACGCTCGCAACTGGCGGTACCTTCGGCGGAACTAGCGAGTCGTTAGAGACGCTCGAGGCGGACTCAGAGGTAGTCGCCGCGGAAGCCTCTGTACTGACAGAGGCGCCATAATACGCGGAATGCAACAGTGTATGATGCATGCGACTACACTGTCTGCATCGAAATTTACTCGGGCATTTCGTCGGAAAGTGCCCGGGCTTTAAGCAATTAAAACAAATCTTATGTTGACGGGCAAAAGCACAACGCTGTGAAGCAGATTTTTTAATAAACGTTTCGCATCTCGCAAGTGGATGCTCGCCGGAGCAGCAAATACATTTGGCGATGGTCACGCTATTGACTGACGAACGCGGCTTATCGTGCTTTGCGGAGCCGGCGTCTGTGCTCGCATCCGAAAAGTCAGATAGTCCGCGAATGCGAAGCGTTAAGAATTCACTGAGTTCCTGATAAGTAGGGAGCTCGTCGCGTTTCGTTCGCTTCAGATTCCACTCTGTACGCGTTTTCGCGCTAAACTTTTGCGTGATTATATATATAAGAACGTCGTCCCATTGCTCTACCGGACGACCGAGGTTATTTAACGCGGCTAATGATGCAGACACTGTGTCGCGTAACTTGCGAAGATCGCTTACATTTTCGGATCTCATCACCGGAAAATTAAAAAATGCATGCAGATGCGAATAAATTAACGCTTGTTTATCATCGTACTCGTTTGTTAGCAATTGCCAGGCCGACTCATAATTTGCATCCGAAATCTTTAAATTATTGATTAACAGTGAAGCATCTCCCGTTACGCTCGTTTTTAAATAATGAAATTTCTGGGAATTTGAAAGAGCGTCGTTGTTTGCTACGAGAGACTCGAAAATATTGCGAAAGTTTTCCCAATCAGTCAATTTACCGGCAAACTTCGGGAGCGTGATGCGTGGCAATTGAAAACAATGATTGTTAGGTTCGCGAACGGAGGAATCGAGACTACGATCGTTAAGCGCGATTTGAGTTGGTGTAAATCGACTTATCGTTTCATGAAGGAGATCGGCCACATCGTTGTAGACATCCTCAGCTGCGAGAAACTCGTCCTTCTCGAAGTACGATAAGGCCTTCTTCTGCTCCGGCGTTGCCATCTGAAGAAGCTTGACGTGGAGGGAGCGGCAAGCGCCCCAGATTTCCGCCGCAGTGGCAAGACGACCTCGCGTTTTGGCGAGGGTCACGTTCGGCTTGGCTAGCTTTTTGAAATTGACGAGGACTCTTTTGAGCGAGCTAATGTTTTCACTCTGCTCGATGAGCAGATCGTTCACGGTGGTCGACATCATAGTCTCGATGCCGAATATGTAAGCTATTATTTTATCACTCACGGGAGCAGAAGGCGCGCGCGGCTGCTCGGCGAGGAAAAATTCCTCGGCTCGAAGCGCGAGCGTGAGAGAAAGAGTTAATTTTTAGCGCGATTTGGCGTCGTCACGACGGCCGTTAGTGGCTATCCTTGTCACTTAGAGCAAAGTACACATAATGGTGCGGTGGTGATAGCAAAACGCGTTTTAGCGAAGTCACACTTGAAATCACGCACCTTTATTGTAGTTTAAGAATGTCGAGATTCGACGAAAGTTGACAAGAGTCAAGGAGAGAAGCAGGAGGCGGGCGCTTTATAGTTGCGCGCACGACGTCCTGCGCCTGGTACTGCAGGCATGCAGAAAGTTTCTTAAATTAATGCCCAGGAATTGTTTTGATTCACTGGCTCGTAGCGCGTGATAGCGGCTCACAATTAATGAGAGTCACCTTTAAACGATGAGAGTCACTGTGTGTAACGACTTGCTAAGCGCGTGATTGCGGCGCGCGCGCGGGTTACTTGCAACAATGTTCACTGTCACCCGCGGTGTTAGAGAATTCCATCACTGGCACGTGATCGCGGCACCGGAGATGAGAGTCACTGGGCACGGGTAGCGGAGTACACGTGCAGTTGCTATTCTCGAACGGCATTTAACTGCCGTCCGAAGGGCAAAATTGCAAAGCGCGTGATAGCGGCGCTTGTACTGCAAAAATGTTGGTCTTTGGGAGAGAGCCGCAGCAAGAGAGAGATAGAGAGAGAGAGAGCGCGTCGGAACGCGCGTCGTTGCGCTGTCTCTCTCGCTCCACGCGTCTTCGTGAGAGAGCGAGAGAGAGAGAGAGAGAGAGAGACTGTCTCTGAGCGCGCGACAGCTGGTCGTGTAGCGCGGTCTCACTCTCGCACACAGAGCTCCGCAACGAACGAGAACGCGTTAAACGTCCGATCACAAGGCTTCCGGAACACTGGGAAGTTGTCCGAAACTCTCGGGTTGATTCACGCGTGATTGAGAACAAGGTCGCAGTTTCATCCGATTAATTTCACAGATCCGGCTCGAAGGACCAATTTTGTATGTTAATGTTATCGCCGGGTTCGGGTTTTCTGAATGAAACTTTGCACTTGGTGTCGAATCGTAACTTTATTTCTTTTTCGATTAGCACAAGAACGCTATGTACAAGAGTGTTCTCTTTTCGCTCTCTCGATTGAGACTGCTGTGAGTACAGCGCGAGTTTTGGAGCGCGCGTAGGGCGCGTTATCGTGATTGGATCCCTTAAAGTAAGGCGAGATACTTCGGCCTATTAGGCGCGAGTGATCACGAGGCTATCACGCTGTTTTTCAAATTCCATCGCGATACAATCATCCTTGAAAAAGATATTCAAACATTCTCAACGGTTTGCTCCGAAAATAAAAAAAATATATATATATTACCGTATTTCTCAACAATATATATACATATTTTCTAAAAGTAACAATTTCGGAAAAATAAAGCAGTCTCTTGCTTATTTTAAATAGTTGTTGGTAGTAGAAATATTATAGTAATAATAAATAGTAGTTACAATAGTACAATAGTAATAATAATAGTTATAAAGTTGCAGTAGTAACAAAAAAAAATATTTCATGCCAAAGACGATCCATTCGTCTGCTAGTTGCTTTAAAAATATCTTCTCCCAGAACGATTTGCATGTGCGTTCTGGTTATTAAAAAAAGATATTATATATCAGAGACGATTTATTCGTCTGTTAGTTGCTTCTAAAATATCTTCTCCCAAAACAATTTGCATGTGCGTTCTGGTTATTAAAAAAAGATATTTTATATCAGAGACGATTTATTCGTCTGTTAGTTGCTTCTAAAATATCTTCTCCCAGAACGATTTGCATGTGCGTTCTGGTTATTAAAAAAAGATATTTTATATCAGAGACGATTTATTCGTCTGTTAGTTGTTTCTAAAATATCTTCTCCCAGAACGATTTGCATATGCGTTCTAGTTATTAAAAAAAGATATTTTATATCCTCATATAATTGAAGCAAGTTGTAACAACAAAAGCTTACAAATTATTGGAGAAAATTGCAGTAATCACTGGCGATGTATTTCTTTTGATGGCACTAAGCTTCGAGTGTACGACAGTCTATCTGGCTGTACATACGAAACATTGAAGGCTAAAGAAAAAAATTACATTCATCGCCGTTATCCACAAATAAATAAAAATAATATAATATTCGAAAACGTTCAAACTCAACCTGATGGTATATGTTGTGGAATCTTTGCTGCCGCATTTGCTACAACTATAGCTTTAGGAGGAAATCCTTGTAATGAGACATATTCTGCTGATGTTAAACGTATGAGACAACATTTCTTAAAAATTATAGCAGAAAATAAACTGTCGCCGTTTCCTAACTAATAAAAATTTATCATTTTATTGTACTAGAAATGTGTAATTCTAATAAATATTGTTGCAAAAAAGTGTCTAATACAAATGTCTCATTTGCAAAAATCGGAGAGACAAAAAAAGTACATATATTATGGTTGCGTTCTCACGGGAATGGGCGATGGAAGGGCCCATTTCATTCTATATATGCATAAAAATGTTTTGTATATTATATAATATTCTGTTATATTATATAAAAATATGCAGCTGGTTGTTTGAATATATTTGCTATTTTCTCAATTATTGATAAGAGGAGAAAAGCGAATTGTGCGTACTGCATACATTGTAATTTATAGAAAATTACAGGTAATATCAATATACGTACCATACACGTATGCTTATACCATACACGTATGTGTATACATGTATGTGTATATGTATTTGTATATATGTATGCATCTATGCATGCATTTATATATGTAAGAAATATATACATATATATACATGTATATGGATGCATATATGCATGCATAAACATATATATAATATGTACATGGTGATTCAAAAGTCGGGCAATGGCCAATTATATCAGAAAATAGTGATCTTATGAAAAAAATACTAAAGATGTTGACTTTTACCTAGGTGTCAAATTAATAAAAAAAATTGAAATCCTTTATTTTTTATTAGATATTTTTGTAGCTTATCTCGACAGCTTTTCAAAGCATTATAATAAAACATTTTTTCATGAAGTACTTTTTGAATTATAAAGATGTTCGAATTATAAAGATTGTTTGACATAAAATTATATCTTTGTAAAATATTCAGTTTTACGTTATCATACTTTTTATTTTTATGCACAGAATAACGAGACCAATTTGGTGTAAAGAAAATGCACCCAGCAAACACAAAATATAACTGCTATGTTACATGTATATAATACTATATAACGTGCATGTTACATATAACATATACGGTAATTTCTCACTCATAGATGTAACATTTGTAATATAACATATGTTATTTATATATTGTAATTATATCCCAGATAGCATCGATATTGTAGGATGCCGAAAGATAATCTTTCGCTAAGTCACTATTCTATCTAGGATATAATTACAATAAATAATAGAATCCATAAGTGAGAAATTACAACTAACGTGTATGTTACATGTTACATGCACGTTAATTACGTGTTATATAGCAATTATAATGTTGTTTGCTGGGAAGTTGTTTCTTGAAAATTACATACGTCTTTTGCAACTGTGTTTTCTTTGCACCTATTGATTGGTCTCATTATTCCGTGCATAAAAAGTATAAATGTATAACGAAAATTGAATGTTTTACAAGATATTGTCAATATTTTATAAATTTACTTCAAACCTTTATAACTCAATAAGTACATCAAAAAATATTTTATTAGTGTTTTGTAAAATTCTCGAGATAAGCTACAAAAATATCTAATAAA